CACACACACACACACACACACACACACAGACGCACACACTCATAGGCCTACACCGCAATTGTAAACGTCACCACCTTTGATCTGACTGCACCCCAGCGGTGTTGTAACCGTGGCCAATCAGACCACTTAGCAGTGGCGGTGGGTGGACCAAAATTTGGGTGGGGCTTAGGTTTCTTCCACTTCTTTACCACCCAATAGCAAGCAATAACTTTCAATAAGAACTAAACACTAAACAGTGATGATCCTTCTAATACTTCTATACTCACGGTGAGCCACGGCATTTTGTATAATCATTCAAACTAGAAGAGTTACCTTTGTCTGCCATCTCTTTGTTCTCAGTTAAATTCTTACGAATGGTGAGAACAAAGCCGTTTCTCCTCCAAATTCCTCTATTTAATTTTCACCTGATGAAAAAGTTGCCTTAGAAATGGTTCGACATGATTTATAACTTTTAAATCTCAACGGTACAATCATAAACATGTACACACAGCACTTCAAATATATTCCGTCTGTGAGCTGGATTAGACCGTGTTGTCAAGGGAAGTAGAAAGCGCTTTATCAAAGGTCCAATGAGCGCATAGGTAACTGTGTCACTGGGGGGAAGTGTGTCGTTAACTTTCACCCCATTGTCAGGGCTAGGACTAGGAGAGCATGAGCCCTCATTACAGTGTTTTTTTTTTTTTTCCAAATCTTCTATCTTTTTAAAAGAAGAGTTCGATTAAGGAAGATCCGTGGGAACGGGCTCATACTTAGCTGAGCCCTGAAAACATTTGATTGGCTGTTAGGTTACTTAAGTTGTCTGCGGTGACAACCGATATTGGATAAACGAACTAGCCGCCAAGTTGATTACTGTGTGTTCATCAAGTGTGATTATAATGGTGTCAACTGCATATTTCGTTATTTAGGAAACTTTTATTTTGGGATAGAGTTATGGGGTGGGGAGGGGCTCAAGCCCGTGAGCCCTTCACTACCAATCGCCACTGCAGCAGATAACAGTAGACCGTGGTGGATCGGGTGCTGTATGCGCCGTCGCGCTTACTGAACTATAATATAAATACCGGTAGGCCTAAACGTGTAGGCTACCGTACATTGATTCATAGATCCAAGTAAACTAAACCGCCCGGTCTAAATCCGCCCTTCGAGGTCAATCGGCACCAGTACCATACGTAGCTATATTATATAATATAAGTCGCGCTCCTTGGCCTGTTCATGAAGCAATAATACACAACACATTATTGTTATAATAATAATAATAATAATAATAATAATAATATGTAGCCTTTTAATTATTAACAGATTTCATATTGTATAACGCATAATTTTATACAGTACATCTAAATATATCTATAGGCCCTACTGCAAATTCGTTTCTTGCTCTTCGCAATATATGTAATTCACTGTTGCCTACTGCATGTGTACGAGTATGTACTATATTTTATATTATCAGCCTGCTACATTCGTAGCCAACATGTATGCAATATGCATTAATATTATATATTATGTTACTGCACACTACACGTTTTTTTTCTGCATGTTGGTCCTACCACATGATTGATTAATACATGTATTAGTATTATGATTTGCATTATCATAAGTATCACTCAGTACCGGTAGTAACTAAGCTGTCCCCGTGGTTTTATGCACCCCGCATAATTTAAGCAAAATCTGATCATTTTTTGCATAATTTCTTATTATTTTCCTTTATCCTTCTTTGTTAAAATTAACAGAATCGCATAATTTCACATTTTTGGGCTCACTTTGCATAATTCCAGAATTTTTCTTGCGTAAAACGACGGGGACAGACTAAGCCCCACGTAGAGCTACATGTAGTATGAAGGCCGAGTAATTTTCCGTGAACACTTTCCGGGCTAGATATCGGTTTAAGGACCAAGAAGAAGACGAAAGTCTTATGGAGCAAGGTCAAGAAAATGTGGAGGGTGCAGCAATAATTTCTCATCACACATTTGGGTCCGGTCTTTGATCGGATTTGTCATAAGATACATAGATCTAGCCATGTCGTAACGTCACAATATGTACTTCTTTCTCAGTTATCTGGGTCTCTTTCATCAGTTGTTTTTTTTTTTACCTCTATCGAGCAGACAGTGTTCGATATCCCAGCTACTAATTAAAGACAGTTTCATGAATGATGAATCTTGGAAAGCCAACGGCTACGGCACGACAATTCTATTTAATTGAAATCTTTCTAACTTTCAATCGCCTTTTCTTCACGGATGAGCACATCAACTCGGTAAATGTTGGCTTCTGACTTCGAAATTTGCGAGGTTCTGCGTTTGGGCCGCCATCCAGGATTGTCCCTCTCGCAATAAAGTACGCATATATATATTACGCGCGAATATAATAATAATATGTAACATGTACACATAATCTGTATGTGAAGCAGAATCTACTGGCGTCTGTTTGTCGGTTAGGGGCACCGCCGTCGTACGCTGAAGACGTCAGTTCGATTTCCGAGTGGGGATAATTTTTATCCAGTATCTGGATCTTTCTGCTGGGACGTTGTGCCCCCCCCCCCCCCTTTTTTTTTCTCTCTCTATCAGTTTCAGACAGCCGGGGTAGGTCCTGACAGGCAGGGTCGAAGTCCGCCTCCTAAATTGTGTAGATGAGGGTGCAAAAACACCTACGATTAGTATTAGGTCTACACATAAAAAACCCAATGCATTTTAGTTTCTTTCAGCAATGAGCATAGCGGCAAATTTTGCAATACAATAATAGAATAGATCTATGATCTCTGCACATTAGATCTACATACAAGTCGCTTGCTTTTTTTACTCCTTACACTACGAATGCAGATGCAGCCACTCGACCCTTCAGACAGGTGAGTCAACTCATTACGAACCCTTGCTTTAGTAAGCGTTTTACGGCACTTGCAACACATGTGGTCGCTTTTACTTTTACACACAAGTGGGCTATCCCGAAAAATGCCGTTTTGAGAAAATGGAAGGTAAAGTTTTTGTCCCTTTTTCAGTTTCTTTTAAAGACAAGGAGCGTTTTCTAACCAAACAAATACACACCAATGAATCCAAACTTCTATAGGTAGAGCAACGCTCTCTTTTGGCGTAGGTAAAGATTTCTGGATACACCCGAAATCGAAATCTGGCTTGTCCGTAAAAGCGACCATATACGTGCCAAAGATTAGAGGTGTTACAAGAGAGTAACAAACACAAAAAAGGAGGGGAGATAGAGAAATAGATAGATTTTTTAGGAAGGAAGGAGCAAACCACATCAGAGCACACGCCAACCACCCTCTTGCAACTGGTTCTTTAGCTACAACAGGTAAATCATCATACTCTTCACACCAAGTGTACGAACATTTGAATATAATTTTGCTTTCTTTATTATGATTATGAGTACATGTTATGAGAATCTTCACTCGACCCTTCAGACAGTCAACTCATTACTAGACTAGGCGAACGACATGAGTATGAGCCCGGTCGCCTAACCACTAGACTACGGACGCTATTGCCAATAGTTTTGGACATGAGCAGTGAGAATATTACAGTGTCTCCGGTGTTAATTTGCAAAGTACTCATCAGAAAATAATGTACCTAGTGGCTAGTACTGTACACCGGTACCATCATGTATTTAATCAACAGGTTAAAATGTATGACCCATCCATTTATGGAGTTTAATGGAGAAATGATGTTTCAACTAGCGCAATTCGAGTCATTGTAGTTGATTTTGCAAACGTTTCCCCATGACCAGATCAACATGAAAGGTTATTTTTAAGTAAAAGTTTTACGGCACTAGCAATGCAATACATTTGTAAGGTCATATAAGTGCCGAAAGTAAGAGGTGTTACAAGAGAGTAACAAACACAAAAAGGAGAGATTAGGACGATTTGGTAGGAAAGGAACAAACCACATCAGAGTATTCAGAGCACCTGTCAACCACCCACATGAAAGGTTAATCGGGAGGCGGGCTGCTTTGAATCTGCCTGTCAGCAATGTCAGGGCCAACCTCTCGGAAGCACGTCAACACAGTAACACCAGTCATTTAGTGTAAGGAAGAAGCAAGACAGAAACAACAGAGGGAAAGAAAAGAAGGATGAGTGGTGTCTTCCAACCACCCACAGGGCCAACCTGGGATGCTATACCATGCTTGAGTAAAAGAAACAGATTGATAAAGTAAGTTAGTTTTAATTAAAAATAAAAAGGATGAACAGCAGAGGGAAAAAGAAGACAGATTTAGTTTTAGTTTAGTAAGAGTTTTACGGCATTTGCAACACAAGGTCATACAAGCGCAGAAAAATAGGTGTTACAAGTAACAAACACAAAAAAGGAGGAGAGATCAGGACAACAGATGTTTGGTAGGAGCAAACCTACTACTCATTGGTGATCTCCAACCACCTGTTGAGTGGGATACAGAAGCAGAAAGTAAACAGGCAGAAATGTGATGTACTCCTTGCGTCTTGATACTGATAAAATACATCATGTAGGCTACCTTGCCCATGAAGGAAAAAACCCCACATGTAGCATCTTTTGCGAGCAACTGTGAAAACAGTAGCCACTTCATCACCACAGACGCTGTTCCATACACAAAACAAAAACCGCAATTACAGTACATAAACCAAAGAATGTTAGGTTTTTCAAAAAGCTTAGTAGAGGTTTTACAGCCCTCTCAACTGCATAAGGTCATAACTCATATGAGCGCCAGAAGATTAGAGGTGTTACAAGAGAGTAGCAAACAAAAAAGAAGAAGGGGAGATAAGGACAATAGATGTTTGATCGGAAAACAGAAGCAAATCACACCAGAGCACCCGCCAACCATCCACAAACAAAAGAAAGAATCATTTCTTGGTACATTCAATTTTATTCATTACAACACATGTTTTTTTTTGGACATGAAACTTAACATTATAAACATTTAAAACTATGATCAAAATCCCCAAGAGCGATCATGAAAACTATGGTCGTATGTGAATGTTCACCATACTATTCTAAAAAAAACAAGAAAAAAAAAAAGAACAAAAAAAGTGAGATGACTATGATATGAAAAAATGAGGCAGGGACAAAAGTGATGATATAAACACGTGCAGCAATGAAAATGACGACAAATGATGATGCTGTGAATGACCTGTCTGAATCCCTCCCACCCCAGGAAAACTGACACAATTCAATTGAAGGAACCTACAACACTTACACTGAGACACGTCACAATACGAACAAACCATTACATGTACATGCTCAGTCCTGACGGAAAAAAACCAAACCAACCTAATATTTTTTTTTTCAAAGTGAACTCGCAGCACACACAAAATCCGTGCATGCAGCACAAGGAACTAGAGATAAAAATCCAAACGCAATTATTGTTCAGCTGCCCTCTTCCTGCTAGAATGCATGATTGATAGCAATGAGAATATATATAGCTAGAACTTACAACATTGCCTAAGGAGATCAATTATAAACTTTTACACAAACCCTCAACTTACTTAAAGTGCCAAGTTACATTTAAAAAGGTACGTACATGCATGTACATTCGGAACCCGGTGCCATTTTAATTAAAAACGCGTCACTTTCTGTTGCAATGATGGTCAATGCTATTGATATGTACATTGCACAGGGGGACCACTTTCAGTTCATACAAGACTCGTCATAAACCTTGAAACAGTCAAGTCCAGAACAAGAAGACACCACATGCGAATGCAACCACTGGACATGAAGGATGGTCACACAGAACTGTCTCGATGAAACTGCATGCTAAACAAAGAAATTCAAACTTCTTCTGTCATCTCATGTCAAAAAGCTAGGCATCCCTGAGAGGTAAAGGTAAAATTGCAAGCAAACAAAATTGCTATCTGCCTACACAATATCCTAGTCTCATTTTAAAACGGCCAGAGAAAAATATAAAAACGTATAACCCAAGCCCCCAATTTCAAAGGACTTGCAGACGTTTGTTACAGTTATTTTCCCCTAGTTAAGATGTGTTAGTCCAATAAAACCATCTTATGCAGTTTGGACACAAGACTGAAGTCTCCGATTTCTCAGAATGGAAGTAACAAGCAATTCCTGCTTCTCTCCCATCAAATAGATCACACATGTGTAATAAAAAAAAAAGTTTGGTGCTGGACTGGTAGACTGTTTTGTATCGAAGTGTACATAAAAAAAAGAAAAAAAAAGAGCAAGCAACAAAACAGATGGGCGGTGGAGGAATAGAATAAAAAATGAACACATTACTGAATTGTAGGTTTACACAGCAGGACTGAGTTAAAGTTAGAGAAGACCTAAATAAAAATATGCCACTTAAGAATCAAGAAATGCTCAGATCTTTTAGAAAACAGTGCCATTGCTGGATTTGTCTCGTCTCCATTTACTTCCCCCCCCCACTGACATAGCAGGAGAAGCAGAAAAGGAGAGATCCTGGAAAAAAACAATCCGGGGGGAGAGCAAAGCAGGGGCAGGGAATACTACAATTTAAATTTTGATTTCAGACCTGTATGTAAGTAGAAATGGTTGTGAATGTTTTTTAAATTTTATATCTTAAAAATATATGTACAAGTTGAAATGGTCATGGGGTGAGGGAAACAGTTCACTCGTCATCATCATCGTCCTCATCATCATCCTCTTCCTCATCGTCATCTTCCTCTTCATCCTCCTCCTCCTCTTCGGGTTCTGGCCTGGGTTTCTTTGCAGCAGGTGCACCGCCAGGTCCCCCTCCGGTCTGCAGAAATCAAGCAATTTGAGTTATTTTTAGTTTTAGTAGGAGTTTTACGGCACTCCAACACAATAAGGTCATAGAAGTGCCAAAAGATAAGAGGTGTCACAAGAGAGTAAAAAACAAAAGAAGTAGAGATCACGACCATAGATGTTTGATAGGAAAGAAAGAGCAAACCACACCAGAATTGAATTGAATTATTTAAAAGACTCAGTTTTAGTAATGTTTTTTAAAATTAAGTTTTACGGCACTTGCAACACAATAAGGTCATAAAGTGCCGAAGATTAGGTGTTACAAGAGAGTAACAAACAAAAAAGGAGGGGAGATAATGAAGATAAATGTTTGATAGGAAAGAAGAAGCAAACCATACCAGAGCACCCTCAATCACCCACAGTAAGAGTTATAAGGCAGAGATGCCAACCACAGAAAACCGAAATGAGTATTGGGAAATATGAAAATGTGTATTTTCAGCGGAAAATGTGTATTCCCCACGACCGACCAACCAGTAAAAGTAAAATGTTCAGGGTGTCCAGCAATATTTCCTTTAAAAAAATTACTAGCTCACCAGCTCAAAAAAGGGAGCAAACACGCCTACAATATACATGTATCCAGTCAACAACATGTTAGTGTTAAGTGTCGTACTGGGGTCTTGTTTGACTTAAGTATTTCAGTCTGTTATATAATATTCCCCTCTCATTATTATAAAAAAATAAATCCTGATTTGAGAGTTCGGAAGGGCCTAGAACAAGATTTTCGACTATCAAGAACCAGTCTGGGTGTCATGATTCATATTATGAACTGACAGACTCAAATTATTGCTCAACTCAGAGAAAAGCAATAACTTGAGAATGGCTCAAGTAGACCCGTGCACTGTGAGAGTTGTAACAACTGTGGCAGGGCAAGATGCAGTGACACTGAAAATCTGCCAGTCTTGAACAGAAAGCTACAACATACACCGTAGGTATAATTTACTTTCACCCATCCAATGAAACGCGAACACTTTATTTCAATAACACAGACTTGCAAAGTGTGAGGAGTCCCGATTCCGCACACGGCCTGCACCAACGCACGCTTTGCAGAAAGCTCTAATCAAAATTCTGAAAGGTGCTTCCAAGTTTTTGTCCTCTGGTGTTGCCTTACCCCCTCCCCCCCGATAGTATCTTAAACCCCCTAAAAATAAATAATCCCCTCCCCTATTCCATAGTCACATTTCGCAATGCCGTTACTGCCACCAAAGACGGTCTTTGCTCACACAATGCCCCATTTATTCATGATGCGAATGCGCGCAGGTTCAGTGACCGGTCACGAAGGCGAGCCAGACAATCTAAAAATCGGACGACGCTTGTATTTTCTTTTCTTTTCACAAGCGACAGCACAGCGACGGGTCCGAGTATTTAATACATTCTATTTGCACGGCGACATTGCGTTTATACTGCACCAAAGATAGTACAGCCTACGGCTGTTCTATCTTTGACTGCACAACCTGCATGCCACAAATGCTGCGTTAGCCTATCAGACAACTGCTGGCAAACTTCTCGGTGGTAACGAAAGCAGCTCTTGATTTTTCCCGATCGAGCCTCGGTGTCACATGCGCTTCCGCCTGCCGCCATAGGCATTCGCGTGAAAGTGAAACGTACTCTCCGGACAGGGAAAGGCTGAACGAATCACGATCGCGACCGGCAAAAATGAACTTACTGACCACATCGGACTTGGTTTTCAAATATTATTCCAGTTCTGCGATACTGATACTATTTTGACAAAAGAGGGACTTGATATAATTAGGTTTATTCGCCAAAGCTGAATCTCGTATTTTTCGCATTCCAGGATGTGTATTTTTTCATGAAAAGTCGTATTTGCATATTTTCGGAAAAAAATCGTACTAAAATCGTACTGGTTGGCATCTCTGATAAGGCAATGGCGACACAAATAGGTAGGGGCGTTTCTAAAGAGAATCTTAGAAGGAAAAGGATGATGTTTTACAGAGGCAAGAAGGTGCAAACCACACCAGAGTATACACCAACCACCCATTAAAAAAAATGATTGCCTACAAATACAAAGACACTATCCAAAATCAAAACCCTCCAATGTCAAGAATGTAGATCTACACACGAGCCACAAAGCAAGCAATACTACAACCATCAATTAATCAGAAGGGAAGCAAGATGATTGGATTAGTGCGCTTGCAACCGAAAGAGCCCATGAGCTTTTTCTCAGATAACTTAGTAAGCAATACCATTTTTAAACACGCCCCTAGCACCAAAGAAGACACACTGAAAAACCCCCCAACAAAACACAAAAAAACATGTACTCACCCGTCTGTACTCGGTCATTGCGATCTCGTACTTCTTGGATTCTTCAAGAGCTCTCTTCTCGTATGGTTTCTTGTCCTCGTTGCTCAGACCTCTCCACTCCTCACCAGCTGTAGATCACAGAAAGTCAAAATGTAATTTATAGTATTTTTACTATCTACTTTTGAACACTATCCATTCAAACCAGCCAGCCTCCTACACGATCTAAATTGTGCCAAAGGGAGCGTAAAAAAAGAACCCCCCCAACAACGCAAAGTTACATCAACATTGAGTATTGAGGAAGAATACTTCTAATTTCTTTACCAAAATCGGCAAGAGAAAATTGATATGAAAACATAACTGGTCATTAGAAAAGAAACTGACATCCCAGAAAGTAAAAATGGTAGAACATAATACCATGAATACAGATCAAAGTGTTAAGTCCACATGCAGGACATACACCATAATTCAAGCAAAAATGTTTCGCATACAAACACATACGATTACCCCACTGAGACACCCTTTCATCTCTCCAATGAAACAAGAAACGAGTTATGAAATAGTCGCAACTGCACACAAGATAATCATAATCATACTTTGCAATTTAAAAAATAATCAGTACAGCTATACACGATCCAGTCCCAAGTAAAATAGTTTTGACTATAATATACTCTTTCAATCTTACTAGTGAAAGCACCCCCCCCATTTGACCAGTCATTACTTCAAAGCATTATGATTATACTATTAAGATCAGTTTGAATGTTTGGAGCTGTAAACTACACATTTAGAGACAAGAGTTAAAAGCATGTTACCCCCCCCCCCGAATTCTATAAATAGAAAGATACGTACCCATCTTGAGCAGTTCTTTATGCTCAATTCCCTTGTTGGCCATTCTGATACGGAAGTCAGCCAAGAACAAGAAGTAGGCAGTTGGAGGACGCTTGGGCTTGTTGGGGTCGATGGTCTTGCCCTTGTACGCAGCCATCTGTTCATTGAATAAACATAAAAGTAGAAATCAGATTTTCTGACAAATATTTACTGCACTTAAGGAAAGATAAAAGAATGGAACAGGAAAAGTCAATTAAAAAAATAAATCATCAAAGCTATACACAATCCAATCACACGTAAAATCTTTGTGACTAAATTTTACAGCACTTACAACATACCTAGGGTCATGTGTAAATACCAAAGATAGATAAGAAGTGCAACCAGAGAATATCATACAAAGAAAAGTAGGATAATAAAATGATCAATAGGCAAGAAGGAGCAACATAAAAAAAAGCCAACCATTAATGAAGGGATGACACAACAAATCCACAAGGAATTTTTTAGAGTACGAATCCACAATTTCAAGTAATCATGACTAATAAAACCAAAAACGAGACATTTTGTGAACTATGGAGGGGGGGAATATAAAAAAATCCGAGCTCAGTGCTGACCTGCTCATCGTATCTCTTCTTGTCCTCAGCGGCAGAAGCATCAAAAGGCTTCTTGTTCTCGGGGGTAAGAGCCTTCCATTTCTCAGAGCACTCCTTGGTGAACTGGGCAATCTGGACACAAGGGGGAAAAGAAGACAAAAACAACATTTTAGAAAGCCAAAAGACAAGATACTTCAATCTTTTTTATTTTTAAAGTTTAGAGAGAGACAGTGAGGGAAGAATATGAAAGAAAAAGTGTTCATGTGTGATCATTAGCTAGCTAATTTACAACACCATGGGAAAACTCACCAAAATGACAAGAGGAATGAGTATCTAGGCCATTAAATAAAATGCAAAATCTATGGAAATCGAAAACAAACTGAAATACAGTCTAACCTTCAAAGGCAATTGGTGTAGAAACTGCTACATTTTGCCAGAATTAACTTGACACCCTTTCATTTACACCCCCCCCCCCCCAAGGCTGTTTGTATATTTTGCACACCCATTGAATTTGAAAAAATTCATGAACAGCCAGTTTGAGTGGAATAAGGCACCCCACACACATGTTCAGCTTCACTCTCTGAGAGAGGTGCACATAACTACTTTGACCATGCACGAAGGGAACAAATGACAGCCCACTACGACGGCTCCACAAAAATTAAACGCACGCCTTCTGCGAGCACCAGCCGTGAGACGAACCGTTACATTACAGCCGCCAGTTCAAGTACCCCTGGTGACCAGGACCAATAAATTATATATTTAAAAAAGAAAAAGAAAAGAAAAGAAAGAAAGAAAGAAAAGTACCTTCGTTGGGGGCTTGCCAGCCTTCGCTGCCTCCTTACGGCAATGGGCCAGGAAGTAGAAATAGGCAGAGGTTGCCCGCTTGGGCTTGTTGAGATCCTTTGCCTTCCTCTTGCTGTTCTTTCCGAGAGCTCCTTTAGGGCGACCTGTCGCATACAGACAAAATTTATAATGAAGTTAGCAATCTAACCATCACTGACAAAACAATAGCTGTCTTCTGAGTTTTGTTTTAAATTATTTTCCCCCTAGCAGGAAAAGTTAATTTGAAGCCTTTCATTTAAAAAAAAAGAAGGGAAATAGAACCCCAATTGGTCCAAAGCGCACAAATTATTATACGGATAGGCTCAAAGTGATAAAGCTTGATTAAAAAAGAAAAAAAAAAAAGATTAATTTGCGACGGAATTCAAGTTGATATTCATGTTCAGCGCATCAATATATATATATATATATAGTAGAAAATGGACAACTGGGACCCAAATGTGAGACGGGGGGGAAAGAATACCAGAAAGAGGCTCTAGAAACCACGAACTTAGTCTACAAAATTTGCCCCTAGAGTCAGAGCATTCACCACTCCTTTCCAACAGTGCCAAAATCAATGAGCCGACTTTAAAAAAACAACAATACACAGGGATGTAGAACTAATTTAATAAAAAAGACAATTCCCACACAAAAGACATTAGAGACGTCAAGTAATTTTCTTCTTCAAAAGGCATCTTACTTTTATCAATGTCATTTCTACGTTTCGGTATAGTTTCTGTTTAGCTGAAAGGTGGACTTGAACTTTATTATAATAACACATTCACTTTCACACAGACCAAAATAGCATATAATTAGAACAAAAAAGGTTGGTATGTGTGTTCTTTCTGTTCGTAAACAACAGTAGACATAACAGAATTTTAAATCCCCGCTTTTATCCAAAATATGCATGTTCCCAGAATGAAAGATAACGCAAAACTCTCGCAAATAACCAAAAAAATATTGAGAACGGGAACCGTTTGGAGAAATAGAGATCAGGCTTATAAATTATTTCCCCGAGCGCTCGGAGAAATAGTCACTTCGTTTTCATTACTTATACTGTATTTCCACTAAAACGACAAAATATCTGTAAAAAAATTACCAGATTATCTTTATAAAGTGCGACGATGATCGCAAGCACATTGGAGATGAGTTCGAAAAGCCAAGGGAGGCTATTCCGACTCGAGCCCGAATAGCCGTTTTTTTTCTTTTTCAGAACAGTTGCACTTTGCCTTGCTTCATAGGTAGTTTCTCGTCACATGAAAATCGTGTAACCACTTAAAAAATGTTCAGGTATTTGGGAAAATAAATCGAGAAAAATAAGATGGCGAGTTACAACTTTGAATAAAATTAACGAAGTGACCATTTCTCTGAACGCTCGAGAAAATAAACGATCTCTATTTCTCCGAACGATTTCCGTCCTTGAGATTTTTTGGTTATTTATGAGAGTTCGGCATCATCTTTCATTCAGCGAGGACTGGGAAGAAGCATTTTCGGCATCGAATTCAATTTCTAGAGATTTTTTAGATGTCTGAATATATTCAGATATTTCAATTGTGGTTGGGGGCAACGTTCCCATTATTCTTCAAATATTTGAAAATGCCTTCAAAAGGTACTGCGAGAAAACTAGACTACTCGACTTTGGCAGTTTAGTAACCTATTTTGCATTTAGTCACCCATAAAGCAATGACTAACCCCCCCACTCGCAAATAACCAAAAAATCTTGAGAACGGAAACCATTAAATTAATTGTCTTATGAAATTATGCCTTAAGCCCCATACTGAAGAGAATGGGTCCTTTCGAATTTCTTATCTTTTTTCTCTCTCCCCACTTTCGATACAAAAATTACACCCCTACAGTTATGGCAGTTGCAGGATAGACTCGTCTCTTACTCTAGATGAGACCTTCAAAAGGATGAGCGCTGTAGGCTACCCAATCTTCTTTACTTTTGAGATATCGACGAGGCTTTCTAGTTTCACAATTAAATGACAATGACAATCTTTATTCATCTCGTAGGGGGAAATTTGTCTTGGTCGTTCACAATGGCAGTAGATGTCACAAAAGTTAGTCCTAAAGTTGCACTCAAACAAACGCACAACAACAACACAGGACATTAGGCCACGAAATACACGTCTCACGCGCTGGGACAACCCGCTGCGTAAAACATTTTCTGTTTCATTTGTAGCATGGTGTGTTCAGTAACCTCACTGCAGTTGGTACGAATGAATTTTTATATCTGTCTGTTCTTCCCTTTTTAAAAAAATGTATTGTTTACAGAGGGCTGATAGGTGAAAATCCGATGTTAGTGGGTGGCTATGGTCACTAAGCTTTATTTCCGTCTTTTTTTTAGAACGTTTGTCTTGTGCAGATATTCAAAGTTACTTAGGTCTCTACCAATCATTCTTGATGCCTTTCTTATCAACTTGTATTTTTATAATGTGCTGCCTTCCCAAAATGCTACCATAGCAAGTGAGACCAAAATTTATCAAAGTTTCTATGATGGTGGTGTAGAATATCTGAAGGATGGATGGATTCAGATTGAAAGACCTAGTGTCCTCAGAAAGTACAGCCTCTGGTTTTTAACAATATTGTTACGTGGTTTTACCGTAAATTTGTTGTCGATTGTAAGACCAAGATATTTGTATGAATCCGTGATTTCAATTGTTTCTTGTTCAATTACGAGTAGTGGGATTGTTGGTTTTTCTTCTCTAAAATCAAAAATCATTTCCTTTGTTTTGAAAAGTTCACTTTCTAAAAAAAAAAGTCCATTTCCCTTGGTAACCTTCCCCATTAGAAGATTTGTCCAGCCAAGGAATTGTAGTATCAACTGAATTTTTTTATATTAAAAAAAATAATCCAGCAGGCCCAACCCTAGCAAATACGATTTAAAACTAAGAAATCATAAGACGCCCATGACATGGCATGCGGCATTACTCTCCGTTTACTACAAATTTCATGATTTGCTATTAGATTCAGACGGAGTACAGATCTTTAACAAAAGTTTCCTGTCGAGCCAAGCCCAACACACAAGAAATGTAGAGATCTCTGCTGCAAAAAGCTAATTTATGTATCGAATCTAATAATCTAGGCCATTTCATGCCTCTATCATCTTCATGGTGACTTCACATTATCATTAGAAAAAAAAAAGAAAAAAAAAAAAAAGGAAAAAACGACAATCTTCCAGTTTGAAACATATAATTCACATATTTGCTGCCTGCTGGAGTCCAATGACAATAAATAATAATAAAGTGAAAGTTAGTAACCCAATATGATCCAAATTCGGCAGATGTGAATAAAACGTTCCATACTGGACAATTGCTGGACAAGGCAAGGGAGCATTTTGACAGGCCACAATTTTGAAAAAAAGCTAAGAAACCAAATTGTCCGATTCATGATAATTCGTTCAATGACAAGAGTAGGTTAGATAGGCCAAGTTAAAGAGAAGAGTTAGCTAAAATAAACCAAAAACCTAGAGTTAGCCGCTTGATATTGGGAAACGGTTTTTGATCACTCAAAAATATCAGCATTTTTTCAGTGATACTGCATACTGAGCAGCCAGTAAACCATTGAGAAGAATTTCTGATCATTTAAACATTTTTGAAAGACTGCTCTTCTCAGTCTTGATCTGTTAGAATTCTACACTCAGTGAGTCTGAGTAGGGATGCTCTAAACTTTTTTTTAGAACCAAAGAAAAAGAAAAAGGACCTCCACATTGGGGCAATCTTTTTCAGACAACATAATTTATGACAGGTCAGGCCACTACAGTAATAATTAAACAAAGATCTAAATCAACAGAAAGAAAATGTATTGAGTTTGATTCAAAACGAGCGCCCTCTTTCAAACCCGCGCCTCTTTCATCTTCTCTGGCTCAAGCCAAGCCCGGCAGAACCAACGCTATGAAACGCTTCTTCTCGACCTTGAGTTGGAACAAAGAAAAACAGTTTCCAAAGGTGCCAAGACCCAACAAAAATCCATTAAAACACCATATTCTAAACAGTTTTAAGTATTCCTAGTATTTCCTTAAAGTAACCTTTTGCATGCTGTAAAGATTGGTAACTGTTATAGTAACGAGGCCCGGTACATGAAATATAGAGGAAATATAAAACGCTATGTGTCTCTGTTAGGAGCGCGCCCACTCTACAAAACCAAAATGGCTAAAGAAGAAAGAAGCCGGTGCCCCGCTTTCGACCAACTCCGTCGCTAAAGCATAAAATTACGAGTCTAGCGACAGTGTGCACGTAAATACATCATTTCACTACCGATTCAAACGATCTAAACATTTTTTCTCGCGTTCTATAATTTTAAAACTTGAATTAAAAATACTTACCCATCGTTGTAGAGTATTCTGTATAGCTGAAAGAGGAACGAGTAGAGAAGAGCTGAAGCACAGACGCTATGACGGCCGACCAACTACAAGCCTTCAAACGGGGCTATGAATAAACAATTCACGTGAACTATATAACACAAAGAGACCCGTATGCTGCTTCCCGCCTGCACAGGATTAAATAGGCGAGGGGAACTAACCCAGTTTATTAGGGGAAATAGTCACAGACGCTTCTACGTCCCTTTATTAAGAAAACTAGCTTTATTTATTTTCATACGACATGTACACGGTATATATATATATAAAAAATGAATTCGAGTAGCGATGGTTGAAAGTGAAAAAAAAATCCTCTCTATAGCGAAGAGAACGCTGTTGGAATCCCATGTCTTTCAGAGAAATTTGCGGCAAATGTCATAGTCTAAACTATGTCCCTTTAAAAAGAAAGTTACTGCACTTGTGTTGTTGAGGTTGTTGTTGTTGTTTTGTTGTTGTTTTTTTTAAAACTTTGATGGTCGAGGTTGACAGTTGAAAAAAATTCGCCTGTACAGCAAGTAGAAACCTGTTCGGGTCCTTTCTCTTCATCTGAATTAATTAATTGTAGCAATAATATGTCTCTTTGATATAGAATCTCTCTTTAATACGGCAGTATTGCCGTTTTGTGGTTGCTATTACTTTTGTATTTTAAAAAAATTACGCTATTTTTTTGGTAAAGAGCAGTTTTAATGGTTGAGGCTGAAGAACTCCAGGATGATGAACTAGGCTGTTTGAATCCTTTTCTTTAGTGTTACGTGGATTAGGGCTTTCGTTTCAGTCTTTACATACCTGATTAGAAAGCCACTTACTTATTGTCTTGTGGTAGTAATAAAAGTAGAGTTAGCAGAAACAGTAGAAGTAGCAGCAGCAGCAGCAGTTGTTGTTGTTGTAGTAGTACTAGTAGCAAGTAGTTGTACTACTACTACTACTACTACTACTACTACTACTACTACTACTACTACTACTATTACTTGTTGTTATTGTTAATGATGATGTTGTTGATGATGTTGTTGTTGCGGTTGCTTTGTATGAGTGTGTGTCTGTGAGTGTGTGTATGTGTGTGCGTGTGTGTCTACGTGTATGTGTGTGTCTGTGTTTGTATATTTGTGTGCGTTTGTGTGTGTCTGTGTTTGTGTGTCTGAGTGAATTTTTATATATATCTCTCTCTGCTTGTTTGTATGTGTGTGTATGTGTGTGTGTGTATGTGTGTGTGTGTGTGTGTGTGTGTGTGTGTGTGTGTGTGTGTGTGTGTGTATGTGTGTGTGTGTGTGTATGTGTGTGTGTGTGTGTGTGTATGTATAGTATAAGGTTTTACGGCGCTCGCAACTGCTAAGGTCATATGAGCGCGCTGTGTGTGTGTGTGTGTGTGTGTGTGTGTGTGTGTCTGACGAGCATGCGCAGCAGCGGAGTCAGTAATTCATCGGCTGCGCCTATCCGTAACCCTGAGAAGAATGCTTCTGTCCATGGTTACCGCTTCGTTACATCTCCGACTTTCCTTGAAATGTGAAATTGTAGACCTATAGATTTCACTCCACTATCAAAACTATTAAGGTTTTTTTGTTTTTTTCTTTTAAAGAGAACGGAGCTTCGAGTTTAACGTCCAACTCCGAAAGAACCGAAACAAATGGGAAATTTTTGTTCAATGCCTTTCCCATGGACACAATGTTGGACCGAGCTGAGGCTCGAAATAACGCTTCGTTTGTAAGGTACCCAAGCGTTATCAGATGACTAGAAATAGAATGCGCGTCCTCCGTTGTGCTAAAAAGATAATACATGTTCCGGTAGGCCGCTTCATGTACGGTGTACAGAGGCGACACGACATGGTGAAGGTCCCACAGGTAGCCCAGTTGGTGTCATGCTTGGCTACGGTGTGAATGGCTATTGTTCGAATCAAAATATTGGGCGACGCGACACACACACTTACACACACACATTATTAAACACACACACACACACACACACACACACACACACACACACACACACACACACACACACACACACACACATGTAAAATTAAAATACATTTAAGCACACACATGGTCCATATATATATATTTATTTTATGCAAGGTGCACAAGCACATCCACGTCACACACATGCATTACACACGCACGTGCACGCGTATATACGAGATGCACGAACA